CCGGGTACCGCAAACTTAAAATTGACTTTATCCTCTGAATGTTGAGTAGCGAGCGTGGTGTTGGTTGGTAAAGAAGTTTAAAGTTGAGCTGGTTTTCTCCTAAACACCAAATGACTTGTAGAAGGAAGCTGGAGCTCGAAGATAAGGCATCTCTGCGTCACATAATTAAACTTCCTAACGCTAAAGTAAAGCAAATCCCCCAAGCTAGCCTTAGGGTGCTTTAATTTGGGTGAAATAAGCTAGGTGGCTACTCTACACTTGACAAAACATCTTTGAAGTGGTGTAAAGAAACTTGTCACGTGTAGCGGGTAAGACAATGCGGTGGCGAGATGGCGGGGTGTAACAGGTGGGTTTATAGATCTTGTGGGTGGTGCTCACGCCTGGCTGTTCCTCCCACCCTCATTTTCCTTCGCGGCGTGTTATCGATGGTTTGGCGGACCAAGAGAAAGGTAGGGTAGGGATAACCAGAAACTGACTGTGCTCTGGATGTACGCTTGTGATAACTCGTTACTCAATACTGGAGCTCGCTTACTGAATTGACCGTTTTTAGTGTTGTGTATTATCAGGCGAGAAGGCGGTTAATGACGAAGTGTTATGGTTCGCCTGAAGGTAGTGTCGGCCTCCATACAGTGGATCCTAGCGCTTGTCATCCACCCAAGTGTTCCACCTCAGGCACTACAGTGCTTATGCGGGCTCTTTACACTTGCTGACATCCTCTTCGTTAGCTCATCTCGCCTATTTAAATATTTCGGGTAATTTTCTCTGAAATTAAGTCAGAATTTTGTCAGGACTCGTTACTCCTTACCGGTTGCTCCTCGATAAATAGAATGTGTAATGTAGCGAGTTGCTTTCAGTGACTAGCAATTGTTTACAACATTACCCAGTATGATACAGTATAGTACTGTAGATGTCTTAAGACCAGGGATTGAGTAGCACCCGAGTTTTATTCGCGAAACGTCTTGTACTCAGTTTAATTTGCATGTTATTTATTGAATGAATTTCCCCCTATTGTCCTTTTCCTTTTTTCTCGTTCCCCTTCCCCCCTTCACTTCCTCCCCCACTCACCCAGCATTTGTACTCTGGCGCCACAATAATTATAATACTCACTTAATTACCTGACGTTTGTACACTGGGATGCAACATTATTACCGGTGAGTGGAATGTTTGCCCTTGGCTCTGAAGCCCTATTGCCGAGGCGCTTGCCCGAGGTTTTTCTTATAACAAATTAAAAAAAATCGCCTTAGTTGTAGTAATGGTTTAAAACCTGTGTAAGCCTAACCAATTTTGTTACACTACATTTTTAAAACGCACTATGCCGGTTTTACTGTAAAACATTTGTAGCGAGGGGGTGAGCCTCGTATGTTAAGGGCGGTGTCGCTAGTGGGCCTTATCGGCCACTTGCCTGAGCCCCCCCTCCCACTACCACCACCCGTGTCCACGTTGGCAAGGAGTCAAACTACGGAAGTTTATCCCGAGCCCATGATCCTACTGCAATACTTGCCTCTATCCCATATCTGAAAAATGTTGGTTTGTGTAAAGTTGACAGTATACAATACCGGTGGTGTTTTTGTGAGGAAATGGCTTAAATAATCGCAGGAGTTTTGGTTGGATCTGCTTGTGGTGCAAGTTAGGTGGTTTCCTGTTATCATGGAGAGTGTAGCTGGTATGTTGTAGTGGAATATGACCCCTGGAGCGCCTGTATTGAAGATACGGGATAGCTTAATGGAGACCACACTCACTCTGCGTGAGTATTAAATGCCAATATTTCTTGATTATGTTGAAATGTCAGTTTTGCTAAGCTTACTTCACCCAGTGTAGATGTGAGCGGAGTTTCATATCTAGTGATGGCGTAGTAAGGGAAGCCTTTGATCCACCATAACGCTAATACCGCTGGTCAGAGTTTGTTTGGAATGGTGCTTGTATAGACATGACAATATAGTGGCTTACACTAGTGTTCACTTATTAATACTGTACTAGATTGAACGTTGCCATTTGAATCTCGTAGGAACAGCTTCCTGTTAAGCATTTCTGGTTTGGATAGATTGATACTTTGGGGACGTGGATCATGTTTCCGTAGACGGGACTACATTGCCTGCGGTCTTGCCTTCACGGTCTTCGCCAACCCTCTCCCCCACCTCCCGTATCCATCTTCATTCCCACCACCACCCTCCTTCCTCTCCCGTCGAGTCTATTGAATGTGCGGCACCATGAGTATACCTGTATCAAGCGTGCAATATCGATGGTATAATACTATAGCTGACAACTAAATACTGTAATTATTGGCGTATATTTTGGCTTCACTGGGAGTCTCGCAACTATAGCGTGTAAAGGTGGTTTTATCTCTAGACCATGGTGCAGTAATGTACCTTATTAAACATGGTGGGGTTTATATAGCAGAACTGGTGTGGTTTGGACGACCTGTGGGCTTGAGCTTAGTTCAAACAAAGCCTTTGTCCCAACGCACGGGACACAGCCTGGCTCAGCCCTTGGTTTTCGGTCAGTCCCGCGAAACAGTCGGTAGTAGGACTTAAGGTATTGTTAACCAGCCGTAAATTCATTTGGTGAAATTTAAGTTGAATTGGACTTAGCATATTTTTAAATTAAATGTACTGTATAGCTATTTTGGGAAGGGGATTTCCACGACCACTGTTTCATTTAAAGTTACCTTGAAGGACATAATTAGTATCACGAGTGAGAGCATCCACTCGTTTTTTTTTCAGTATTTACTCCAAAAATATTGAAGGTAAAAATAGGAAAATCTGGCAAGACGTGTGCTGAAGGACGGGAGAGGTGTATCCCTTGCCACCTTCTTGGACCTCGTGAGACTTATCTCGCCCAGCGCCTTGGTTCGAGTGATTATTTATTTTCTAGTCTAGACAATATAATAGAGTATTGCAAGTTTCTAGGCATTGTATGAAGCTGTATTGCTCGGATGAACTTTATTTCAATGTTTTGAAAAAAAGTTGTTACCCTCTATCGCGCTTCCTTTTGTGAGATGAGGGTCCAGTTGATGGTAACGCAGCTGTGGTGTGGGCAGCGGCAGTATGGAGAACAATATCGATTGCAGTCGTAAATGCACACACATTTAGAGGATCACAATGGCGGTAGGGATGCTCTTGAATTTCAGGTGTACAAGTTGGGAGAGGAGGCTTGTCTCAGGCACTACGGTGACACGTTTTTCCTAGTATTGTAACCTCGACCCGCTGTGGTTGTTGATGTTAACGCCTGCGCACTTTGTGTTATGTAAATTATAAATAGTATTAAGAATAAAGACTTGGGTAACAAGTGTAGTAGTTATAATTCAAAGCAGCTCTTTAAAAGATTGACAGCTTGGTTACGAAGTGTCCTTCAGCAAGGAGCAGATGGTTAGTGCCTGTTGCTGGGAACCACCTGTGGCCTCACCACCTGGCAGCTCCCGCTAGTGGCCTTAACGTAGGCTTCCTAACTTGAGCGTCCGTTGTCACTTTGCACCAATCATGCATGCATCAACCTCCATCTTTCAGATCTCAAAACCACGAAGTAAATATACCAAATGCGACTTAACTATTATAGAATAAAATTTTAAGAACTGTTTTTTTTACCGAAGTAATTTAGTAAATGTATTAATGAGAATAGCTTGGAAGTTGTGTGCTTGTGTGGGGGAGGTGGGAGTGTATGTGGAGCGCGGGAGTGAGAGGGGTTGCTGCTATTGATCCTGTCTGGGCCACGTCTGGTGGGAGCTGCTTACACCGGAGCTGCCATCGCTGCTGCTGCTGCCGCCGCCGCCGCCGGGATGCTGCTACCGCCTCCTGCCACCCACACCACACCTTCACCTTTGTTCCTTCTTTAGTTTTAAGTTATAATATGCCATTTTATTTTCAGGATTCAATTTAATAGCTTATTTAGCATGGACATTTTCTTGACTTTCAGGGTAGTGAAGCATTTCTTCTCCAACAATCCTGATTTAGTGATTCAGGGATTTAAGTTCGATCTGAAGCAGGTGACCGGGCGATCTCTACCTGCAGTCATCCTTAACTTCCTCTTTAAGCGTAAACTTAAAGCGGTGGGTGTTGCCATGAGCATAAAATGGACTGGTGCAGTGACCCCTTCGCAACTTTTTTAACTTTCCAAATTCCTGTTTTAACAAGGAGTAGTCTTCGGCACTGGTGATTTTTCACTTATTTCTTGAACATTTTTTCCCATTGGGATATACCACCTGCTTTGCTACTGACACGTTTTCTGATGGTATTGGGTTAGACATAATTTGCATGTTTTAATAGGGTTCCCATTAACATTCTCCAAAACAAACTAACCCTGCATCTGTAATGGTGTCATGACTTTGGTATTGGGTATTCTTCACAAAGGGTGGTGAAGTCGTGGCGGTCCCGATGCCCTGGTGATTGGGTTAGGGCAGCCAAGCTCAATCTCCAACAGGCCCTCAACATCCGCATTCCCAATGCAGTCCTCATCTTTGCCTTCAAGCTGCGTTACCGCCAGGTCAGCGCAAGTTTCCACTGGTCAAAACATTGGTTTATCAATGGGTTATTATAACCTCCCAGTTGCTTCAGTACTTGTTGCCTTAAGAGCAATAGGGAGTTATGATTGCCTTGTCACATCTTAATGGTAACCTAACACCTGTAGCTTAGCACTAATGTTTAGTAACTATTCTTTACTGCTTTTCACCTTCTTGCTGCTGCTGCTGCTAATACTTCTGTCGATGCTGCTGCTCCTGTTGTTACTGCTATTTAAATAATTTTCACCTTTAGAAGTGTCCTTGTACAGGCAACAAACCTGCAGGATCCTTCGTGCAGTCTCGCACATCCATGGTCTGTTTTAGTGGGCACAGCTTTCTGTAAAATTTTAATTTTACAAATCTAGAGGTTTCGGATTGGTTTGTTTACAAACCGATGAAAAACTCAGATTGGTTATTTTGCCGTTACCACATTTGTAGTGCCTAGTATCAACCTGGCAGTGCCACCTTTACAAACCAGCATGTTGCATGGGTGTCCTTTTTCTTGTAGGGTGGTTAAGTCCTGGCGCACCAAGAATCCCGATGGCATGCTCGGTGCCTACAAGATGGACTTGCAGCGGATCACTGAAAAGAGGTGGCCCAAGCTTGTCCTTGAATTCATCTTCAAGCTAAAGTTCAGGAGGGTAAGCTGCCACTGCCACCTCCTCCTTGCCTTGCTACTTTGTTGTGCCCCCCACCCCTCACCAACGTTACTGCCCAGTCTATTCTAGTTTGTCCAGTAGAGTTCCCCAACCAAATACCTAAGTTGATTTACTCTGGATTATGACTTACACTAAGATTTTATTACAAAGTTTGATAGAGGCTCTTAAATGTCAAGCAATATATTCTATATTAACTTGGAATCTTAAAGAAAAGAAATAGCTGCTATTATACACTAAATATTGTCTAATATTACTTAAATTTATCAGGCTGCCAAGAAGGTTCGTGCTCATGGTATCGGAGTCCACAAACCAGAGGAGATTGAAGAGTTTGGTCATAACGACTTGACAGTTCTTTCAGACCTTCTAGGAGATAAGCCATTCTTCTTTGGTGATACTCCCACTTCGGTAAGATTTTTCTGTGTTTGGAATGGTGTCGGGCTGTTTGTTGTCATCTGTACTTTCGAACCTTGTAACAGTTTCCATATTATTCCTCTAAACAAAACTCAGATTTTAGCCAGAAGAGTGGAGGTTTTTCTTGTGGGAGGGTGTTAGATGTGTAGATTAAAGATTGGAGTATGAAAGGGCATGAAAAATTTATTGGGAGGCAAAGCAAACTGTTTATTCAGGTACTGTAGTAGATAATGTTTGTTGAAAATATCTTGGGGCATTCTTGATGTGAAAGAGTATACTGTAGTGGGAATGATGATGAAACCAATTGACAAGACCTGGGCAATTATTTTCAATCTAGGATATACTGTACAGATAAACAGGAATAACTTTTTAGTAATGCAGTTTCTTCTCAGTGTGGCTATTTAGCATACTTTTTATATTCTTTGAGGGGTGGATGAAGCAATACTAAATCTCGACAGTATTATCCCTCTGAATTTGACTTGACACTTGAGTGGGTTATTTAGGAGAAAATTTAGTCCACCCTCTATGTTGGACCGAGATATACTCAATCCTCAAAGGATAGGTTGTAGAAAATGAGTCAAAAATTAAATTGATCGTTTTATAAAAGTATATTACTAATAAAACATCTTAAAATACTGCAGTGAACTTTCCTGAAATTCTGTAACTTGATTGATTTGATTAGTACTAGACAAGTTAATTTGTTCCCCCTGCTTGTCTGATGTGATTTAAATATGTACAGTAGAGGACGTGTGAAGGGATAAATAGGAGTGTCTGAGAAATATAGCAGTGTTGTGATGAAATGTGAAATTAATTGAATATAAATGTCAGAATATTTTGGGAGGTGGGTTATAGTGTGGGGTACATATAATACTGTATATGCACCAGGGAAGAACAAAGCAAAGGGTTTTGGTAAGAGCCGACTAACTGTATTGATGATTTAACACGATAAATTTAAATGCTTAAGTTTGGATATGGAGCAGATGGTAGGAAAATTTAGTGCCAAGATAGAATGGAATTGCAAATTGACAGAAATGTGCCAACAGGGTTGGTGAGAATTGTGATGCAGAAATAAATGAGTGAAGTTAATGGGGAATATTTAGTACAGAAATGTTGGAGATTGAAGTTGGGGATTGTAGTACAGTACTGTATAAAATGAGTTGAGAGTTGTTGGGGAATATGTGGAGTAAAATTGTTGAGTGGAAATATTTGGTTGAAAGAAATGGGAGATTGATAATGAAGATAGTTTGGTTAGACTTGGTGGATTGAAAAATTAAATTTAAATTTGGTGGATTGTACAACAAAGAGTAGCACACTGGTGGGAGGTTAATAATGAATTAAAGGACTGGGTGAATGATTCAAAGCACTGAAGGAAGGGGATGTAGCTCGGATTGAAAGGAGTGGGGAGTGTAGAAGATTATGTGTAAGGAAAATAGAGGGAGGAGAGACTTGCAGTGCTTAAGGATGTATAAGTAATTGAAAAAGTGATGACAGAGTGGAGTGAAGAAGGTCTTAAGAAAAATTGTGGGAACTAATTATGGTGAGAACTACAATAACTTGCACTTGAGAATGAATGAATATTAGTTGATAAGTAAAGGAATTTAAGTTTGAACTGCTTTGCAAAAAGACGAAGGTACAGTTGCAGACCCTAACTCGTCTGGTGTGGTTCCATTTCATCTCATTTGGGGTCGATGCTCCATTTGGGGAGGAATCAAATTTTTTCCCCTGGCTGTAGGTAGAATTACTGAAATGTTAAAGGCAAGGGTTCTCAACCTCTTCGGCCATTTACTTCATAACGTTGGCATGACCAGTCATTTACCCCCACACCCCATAAATGAGCGTAATAAGCTATTTAAGGAAATGGGTTGGACCATACAAATGTCTGAAGTGATTGATAATTAATTTTATTCATGTTTGTTCATGCTGGACTTGAATAAGAATTTGGGACTAAAGGTGCAGCCACACTAGCTACATTTCCTCCCAACATGTGATCAAGAGGAAGAGATGCTGGTCAAGAGCATCCGCACCCTCCCAGTCAGAACCCCGTGCCTCATTTAGTCTTGTGGATCACACATGTTGCCAAATGTATGCTAGTGTGGCCGTACCCTAAGACTCAAACTTCCCTTCTATGTGTGTGTAGAACTACATAAGACTGCCCGGAGCAGTGTATGTTCATTAATGATTTTTAAAGTCCACTGTTTAAAAAATCAGCAAGGTGAGAAACATTTTGAGATCTATACTATAGAAGGGTTAAGTATATTAGATTATAGTACATTTTTCTTTTGTCAGTGAAGTCTCTTGTCCCCAGTATTTTTTTTACAACCCTTTGTGGGTAAATTTACCCTAGGTTCCTCGTGTAAAAAGGTAAATGTGATGAAAATGAATGTAAAAATTGGAAGAACAAGTCTTTGAATTACCATGTTAGCAAGGGCAAAAGTGGGAGGATATGGAAGTGAAACGTTTTTGGATTGTTGTACTGTATTTGTAAAGAAAAAAAAAACTAAAGCATTTTGGGGAAGGATAAAGAATGCATGGGGCTGAATGAGAAAATATTAATGGTGTCCAGCATGTTTATGGAGATGTATGTTTTTGGAAAAAGGAAACTGGTTCTTGGTCAAATAAGGACTACAATAATGGTCCCCAACTTGTAGTTCAGTACCTGCAGATCCATATTATGGAGTCTGGAAGAGTTTATTAGAAAATTTCGAATTATTTGGGTTTTTTTAGTGTAATTAATGAAAATCTGTAACTTGATACTATATAATTTGAGAGAAGGGGGGGGGGTGAGGAACTGGGCATTTGTCCCAAGTCTGTCCTGTACAGGCTTCTCACTGGGGTAAATACACACGTCCTGCCCAAGAGTAAATGTAAAAAAAATGTCCTTCCCAAGAGTAAATGTAAAAAATATGTAACTGGTAAATTAGACGTGTGAACTGCCCATAATGGTACAGTATGATTTTTTCTTGAATGTAGATCCGAATTTTTGGCCGTTTTCATTGTTAGGTCACTAAGAAATAGTTTGGGTGCAAATAGTGATGAATGCTTGGATATAAAAATTTAAATTGGAGGCAAGTATGGGTTGCATGTACTGTAGCAGTCATAGTAGTCAGTACAAAGATAGTTGATAGTGAACATAACCATCTATACAGATAGTTTATAATGAATGTATAGTGATGATAATGCAAAGTTGACTGGGAAAACTATTAAATTGAATGGAAGTGATGTGCGAGTGAATTAATGTAATGAATAGAACAAGGGAAAGTAAATTGGAGAAAAAGGTGGCATGATCTAACCAAATAAGATGCAAAATATAAGTGAAAAATGGATTGTATTGGGTTTCATGGTGTACAAAAATTTGAATGTGTGGATTGATCAATAATTTTTATTTGGAAAAGGTTGTGGAAAGGGAATGCCATTGCAGCACTCATTTACAGCCATAAAGTGAATGAGTTTTTTTATCTTTAAGTTAAAAGATACAGGAACCTCTTGATTATGCAATAATTATGGTCTTGAAAATGGTCATGTAAATAAAAAAAAACTTGTAAATCAATATACAGTATACAGTATTGTGGAATTTATATGTAAACAAGACTACCCAATATTATTCCAGTGAAAACTACTATGTACAGAGTGACAGGAATATTTTCATAAGTTTGGCATTTGATCCATGTGCTCAACATTTGTTCCATTCTCTCCATAGTCGAACTTTGGGTACACGGGGTCTCCTTGATCTCTGCACTATCATGAATAGTCCGTAAAGTAGATTCACCAAGTTCAAGGACATGTGTAATATCCTTCAGTTCGTTCACCTCGCTCACAACACGGAGTACATCTTGATCTCATTGGTGATGGCTGTTTCTTGGCACCACTGGAACCAGGAAAACTTACTTTGGTGGCATGATGCAAGGGTCAAAACATGTGAAATATACAGTAATGTACACTATAAATTGTATTGACTTCATGAAGACTGCATGGTGGGAAGCTGTATACTCACACTGCACACATGTGCTAGTCTTGTAATGGACCTGGCAACGTGACACCACCACGTTGCTAGCCCCACTGATGATTGTTGATGATAGTTATTTCAAACCGAAGCCCACATAAATTAAAGTGTAAATGCTGCCGTGTGCATTTTCTAAAAATGGTGCAAATCAAACGGCTGTAAATAGGGAGGTACATGTAATGGATAAATGGTATTTAACTTCAATACCTGTATTTCGGATATAATGGAGGACAGAATGTGGTACTGTATACTGCAATAAGAATACTATATTCACCTACAAGAAGTTTCTCTTTTGTACAGAAAATATTTATGAAGCTATCCTATTCACAAAATATTTGTAATGTTTACTGGATTTAATAAAATGAATGCTGTACAGTACATAATATTAATTCTAGTACATATTTAGAAATTACCATAAATTTAGACTTGTTCATAAAACACAACTAATTACTAATTACAAAAAATATTATTTCAGCTTGATGTGGTTGCCTTTGCCAACCTTGCACAAGTTGCATTTATGGACAAAGAGGTAAGCTACTCCCTCCGTGACTGGATGACTGAAAACTGTGCCAACTTGGTAGAGTTTTGCAGTCGTGTTAAGGATCGTGCATTCCCTGACTGGGAAGAAATGTGCACAAACTTGGATCTTAATTCTCATATACCAAAGCCACCCCCAGAGGAGAAGGTGGAGGAACAAGCAGCAGAAAAGAAAGACGAGAAGACCAAGGAAGAGGACAAAAAGGACGAAAAGGAGAAGGACGATACGGAAAAGGAGAAGGCCCAGAAAGATGAGAAGGAGGGAGAGAAGGAAGATAACAAGAAGACGGAAGAGAAGGAGAAAGAAGAGGAGAAGAAGTAAAATCCTTGAATATTCAAAGTTGTTGAAAGCAGTCGAGAACCAAATCTATTTGTAATATATGTGATAAATGTTGTTTGAAGGCTTTTTTTTTTTCGCTTGATACACTTTGTATAGATCTTCTTGTTAGCGTGGAACACAAGCACCTCCCCGTGCCGACTTAGTCGTTAACGTTTCGGTGGCCACTATCAGAAATAAGCTCGTTCTTACCTTCATTATCTCTGGGAGAGTTCAAACAGTAAGGGCATGAAACATTGGATGGTCTCAACTGGTGATTTTCCAGTCGGACATGTATATTCACGTCTTTGTATTGGTTGGGCTTTCATGTTTTAGAGATCGGTTTTAGTCCCAGTTTTCCTTTGCCTTACCGTTTGAATTGGTACCAATTCTCATTGTAGAATTCTTTGGTCTCATTATGTGTACTGTAGTTCACAACCTGACTGCTCATTTTCACTGAAGGTAATGACAAGATTGAATTTATATTCAGAGTTAAGTTTAGGAGAGACAAAGTTGAAGGTTGGAACTGGTCGAGTCATATTATCTGTGTGGCTTACGTAGCTTGTAGGTTTATTCCATACGAGTTTTAGTTAAATAATGATTTTAAGAGCAGTATTATTCATGGAACATGAGTTTGTACCTTTTGCTACCATGACAATGAAATTTTCTTAATTCTCATTCTTTTTTATCACTTTTGTAATATTAGTTTGTACATTACTAGCTTTTAATATGGCATCTAGAACATTATGATAGTTTTTACACATGGAAGTTATTTTGTAATAAGGAAATACTCATTTTATAGGTTCTCTTTGATACCAGAGGGAAAAATTCCCACCGCTTTTTGTGATAGGAATGCTCATGAGCCAAGTCGGTAGTCTATCTGGGGTTTTTGCTCTGAAACACTGCCTGGCTGTAATTGGTAGATGAGCAGAGTAACCCATTCCAGTATGTATTATATGAAAGTAATTCAGAATCCTTCATTTAGGGTTTTGAGTCTATGGTTACTGACAGCCACCAGCAAGACAGTGGTGATGGGAAGGTATGAAAGCATAACTATGATTATCCATGACACAAGAACCTGAGATAGCCCAGACTTGGTATTAATCCTCAAAATCTGAATAATCCAAAGACAGCTTCACGGCACCAAAGTAGTCAATAGGGACCAGAGTGCCGCACAATCAAAATTATAATAAGGCACAAGGACTTTAGCAGAAAAGCTTTGAGAGTGCTGAGAAAGCGAAATATACATGGTATTTCTAAGGGATTAAGAATTTTATACTAAAGGAAGTTGCACAGTATTTTCGGTCAATAATTGTGCTGTGATAACCAAAACACCAGTTTTGTAAGAAGTGCTAAATAGAAGTAAGCCATTCATACAATGAACTTTGTAGCCTTGTGCTTAGTCCAAATTGTAAAGAATTTTTGCTCCAATTGCTAATGTTTGGCTAGATATTGCCCTAGAAGTCTTGCTAGACCCTTCAGAGTGTATGATACCATGTTTGTACCCTAGCTTTTGTACACTTGGTACCTTAAGGCTTCAGCATTCGTGTAGTAGGTGATATATCTGGCATTTCTATTATAGGCACATACACCATGGTTATCATGTATACACAGACGTATTTATGTTCCTCAATAAATGTATCCTTTTAGGGAAAGTTTGATTATTTATTCCTGGAAATGACCGAAGTAAATGAAAATTATGCTACAAACGTACTGAAGTACAAACTGCTACTATACTGCAATTGTTAATTTTAATTGGATTTCCTGTACAATTGCTAAAAACTATCTTTAGTGGGGGACTGACGAATTTCAGAAGGAACACATACTTCTGTATTGTTAAGGTTGTCCAAATTCTCGTCCGTTTAACATAATTTTTGTAGTCGTGTAAAAATTCTTCATCTGTATGAGATCATTTTTGTGAAGATAGTTTTTGTTTTATCTACCCCCCCCACTCTGTTCTTCGTGACTGATAAAGTGCCATATTGATAACCGTTAAGGGAAAATTATCCTTAATAAAATAAAACGAGTTATGTGGTGTTATAAATATCTGGAAATGAAACCTGACAGTTTGTACAAGACCTGTAGTGAATATAGTTTTAAATGTGTAGTTTTAAGTGTGTAGTGAAGATAGTTTCAAGTGTGTAGTAAAGATACTTTCAAGTATGTAGTGAGGATAGTTTTCAGTAGTAAAGGGTTGTTCAGTACACTACACGGTCGCTCGGGCAGTAGTGAGTGTTAAAAGTGGGAGTTCTTCTGGTTTGTGTACTGTCACCACCATTGATAATTATACGAGTACAGGTATGGCAGTGTGTGGGAGGAGAATGCAGATGAGAGATAGAGAAAACTGAAATACAGACAGACAGACCATCAAGTGAGGTAGACAGTGATGGAGGTACACTCGGAAATCATAATCTCTAGCCTACTTGGGTCGGTGCTGGAGGTTAGTACAGTGTCCTTTCTGTAACATTAAGCTTCGTCCTTAGTAGGTAAGATGTTTCATATAGAGGTTTCTCTCATTCGTCATTGTGAGCATCGTCCCAGAGCACATTGTTTCCATCAAAACCATGGTTCATCCTTATTTCCCGTCTTCCGTGTAACTATATCCATATGGCTAAGTGCTTACTTTTCATTTCTTTATTTACCATACATGCACTTAGAGCATCAAGATTGTTTTGTAGGCATGACTATTGGTTAATTGAAACCCCAAAAATATTTGTCACATTTATTATGCATAAACATTGTAAACATATCTGTGATTATTGTAGTATATAACATATTTAATGTCTGGACAGATTCCCAAGAGTTATGCATATTAATGCATAGATTTTGTAAGCATATTTATGTGAAGTGACGTAAAACCACATTTTTGGGGTTTCAATTAACCATTAGTCATACCTACAAAACAATCTTGATGCTCTAAGTGCATGTATATGTTAAGTAACGAGTAACTGATCCACAGTTAAACAACCGGGAAGTAAAATTGGAACCCTGATCTGACTGCACCACTGTAGGAAGGCCTACTTGAGTGAAGAAGTGGGTTAAGGCTTTGATAACATTCTTCGCTGTGATGCGGCGCAAGGGAATGGCTTCAGGATAACCGGTTGCACAATCAATAATGGTTAGCAAGAACTGATGACCACGAGGGGTCTTAGGTAAGGGACTGACACAATCTATGACCACCTTACTAAAGGGCACTACGATGACTGGGATAGGCTGCCGAGGGAAGGGTTTAACACTGGGGTTCGGTTGCCCCGCTACCTGACGATCATGGCAAATGCGACAGTAAGAGCTGATGTCTTTCTTCATCCTAGGCGCAAAGAACTGGGATAAAATTTTTGCATAGGTCTTTCTAACTCCTAAATGACCACCCAACCCCATCATGAGCTATACTAAGTACGTCCTGCCGCAAAGGTTTGGGAATAACAACTTGATGATGAACTAACCAAGGGTGATTGGCAGGAGAATTGGAGGGACAGAACTTCTGCATTAATACCCCAGACCTAATGTAGTAGCAATTTGATTCTTGCTCAGCTTCTGACTGTAACTGACCTATTTAGAAAACCTACTAGCTCAGGATCCCCTGCTTGTAGCTCAATAAATTTACTCTAGTGATGGGAGAGGAACCAAAACTAGTGACATCTGGGTTCCTATCTCCATCAGAACTACTCTGGAGGTTATCTGGTTGTGGGGAGTCCTCAAAAATTTCACTGAGACCAAGATCAGTATGGTCCGGCTGGATAAGATTATCCTCGGGCTTCTCACAGTCCTGGAGGGAAACTCCATCAACTTCACTAGTCTCTTCTACCTCTGTACTGCGGCTCATGCTATGGGTCACAGCACACGCAGGGAACAACCCTGGAAAGTCTACTTCTAACTGCATAGTATTATTCTCGGCAGTGGGACAAGATGAGACCATAACATTAGGGATATCATGTCCCCAACGAGGTCATTTCCTATCAATAGAGAGAGCCCTTCTACAGGTAAGCTATCTACTACTACTAACGTGACATAGCCTGACTTTATGGATGACCGCAGGTACACTTGGCAAAGGGGAATACGCGACCCACTGGTCAAACCGCTCACAAGCACCCAGCTACCAGTATAGCATGAATCCAGGAATGGAGCAGCAGCTTTTGTAACAAGAGATAAGGCTGAGCCTGTGTCTCTCAAGCGTTTAACAGAAGTGGGTTGACTGAATTGATCCAGAGCTAAGGAACCAGGGGAACAAAATGGTTCAAAGGTTGATACTATAGGAGAGGGGGAAGCATCCAGGGCAACAGTCTGACTAAGGGCAGTGACACAGGGCTCCAATTTCTTTTCTTTAACTTGAGCTAGTAAAGTTTTTCTTTACTGGTGAATTATACCACTATCTTGGTCCCTAAGAGAAAAGTTAGTGGTTGAGTGAAAAAAAAAACATACAGTACATACCGAGAAATTTTGAAGAACCAGTGAAGATATTGGAATTGCAAAAGAGTGGTGTATCAAACTGAATTTGCATGTCTGTTACTTTGGCAGTGGAAAGGGGGTGTAGGGTGGTCGGCTATGGTAATGAGAATTTTTTTCCCAATATCATTCCCCTCGGAGAATTAACCTGTTCCACTAAGCAATAGCACTGACAGCATCCTGGGTCCCCCTTATGAATATATGGGTATTAGCTTGTCAAAGGCTAATACACTTACTGTGACCCAGTTGCCAAAGTGAACTTCTTTGGCTCTGGGAAGAACTTCCTGTGTTTGGACACAACATGGAGGAGGATACTGCAGTTCTAACTCATCCTGTGTGTGCCATCCATTGAAGGTTTTAATGAGGGTGACCTCTCTCTCTCTCTCTCTCACTTAAAAGGACATTACTGTGGTTTTGCAGAATTTGTTTTTGTGTTGTTGCCTCCAACCCATAATTTTTAAGTGAAAATGAGTGAATCTAAGAAGAGGAAAGCTGAAGCAGTGTGTCGAACATTCAACAAGGAATGGACTTCTAAATATTTTCTTTTACCAACGTGGATGGAAAAGCGGTGTTTAATATGCAAAGAAAGTGTGGCAGTGCTAAAGAATTACAGCTTAAATTGCCATTTTGAAACCAAGCGCTACGTGATTGCTCACAGAATTGCCCAAAACAGCAAGCCATTCTCTGAAGGAGAATTTATAATGGAAGGTCTGGTTGATTCTGTCTATTTTATGGCCAGACAAGAAAAACCAGTTTGAGAAAGTTGTAGTGGATATTTCCCCAACAACTACAACTGCCGTTTGTCGCTGACTAGCCGATCCCTTGTCGAGTTCCCCAGCCAATGCCTCGTGGTCTGACAAAGCGCAGGTTGGCTATCAAGTCACGCCTACCTCCGCTATATAATCCGTGAACTCCTTTCTTCTTCTACCTGAGCCTTGCAACACGCAACATCTCCTCTGAGCACGCTTCTCACCAACCAGCTCTCTCTACTCCATGCTTCTAACCACGCAGCAACTTCCCAGCACCAAACTGCACTGTACATCCAATACAATATATATACAGAAAATGCATTGTGAATTTCCTTTCTCCAACCCATCCTGAGTGTGAGACATAACATCATGAAACCACAAATGGTGACCCCCGGAGAATCGCACTCACACAGGATGGAGGAGAAACAGATCACTCTCCCAGTCTTCAATCACAACATTGAAGACTGGCTTATCCACACGGAGGCAGCTCTCATCGGCTCTACAGCTTCAGACAAACAAAAGTACGTTGCCCTGGTCTGTTCCCTGCCCACAGAAGTCACCACGCAAGTATCAGAGACCATCACCAACCCTCCAACTGACAACAAATTCTCTGCACTACAGGATGCTCTGAAGACGCTATACCAGCAGCCTCACACCACTCTCCTACAAGACCTATCCTGTCTCCCTCGGCAACTCCACGCCTGCATGTCTCTGGGACGAGATGAGTAGACTGAACTCCCGCCACACGGACAGGGTTCCTGACACTATCCTGCGCCAGCTTCACACTCAGAAGCTCCCTGCAGAAGTTCGTCTTGTCCTCTCAGTATTGGACTATTCTACTACCTCGGCTACCTACGCAGCCACGGCAGACAGAGTATTCCACGAATACACTGCTGTGCGCCATGCTTCCGCGCACAACTCAGCGGCTAAACTTTCACTTTCCCCCGGTCTCGACAACCAGATCAGCGCTCCCCAGACGACCAAGACCTCATGCGGGACTTGCCACTGTCCCTACACCGCAGGTTGGACACCTAGGAGCAGCTCTGCTCCTCCAAGCCTGCAGTTGCTCCTGTTCCTGCCCCACGCACTACGTCCTACCAACCCCAACACACCCATCCTGCCTCAGACGCCGCCCCAAGCCCCCAGCACAGTGTATCTACCCCCTGTTGGTACCATCAACGTTTTGGTGCTAACGCTAGACGCTGTGAGGCTCCCTGCAACTACACGGCGAAGTGACATCAATGGAGACTGGTAGGCGCCATAACCTCCACCACTATCAAGCAGCACATCACACGCCTTACTTCTGACATTGACCATTTCACTCCTTTTGGCCGTCACGACCTACTACAAACACTATGACAGGCAGTTTCTGCATTCAAGGCTTTTGCCCCACGCCAGCCTTCCTGGCGCCCTGAACACATCCCTCCTGCTCTACTCAACGCCGAGTATGTTTTTGT